GAGGCAGATGGATGGACATATGTATCATCTGCGTGCAGCTCTGCTGATATAAATGTCCCAGCACGGGCATTCACACTCCAGGACACGGTTTGTGTTTGGGGCGAGAGAGAATTTTTCTCCCATAAAATAAATAAAATACATTCTGAGCATCTTGGGATAAAGCCATTCTAATCCTTTAATTCTTCCTAAAGGAAAATGATTCCATATTCAGGGCACTGTGCAAACAATTAATTAGCCTAATGAAAATGAAAGGCCTAATTGCTCAGTATTATTATGATCACTGGCAGCCAGGCGTGACCAAAGAATAGACTCTCTCTTGCTGGGGATAAAACACAACTTTCCAGCTTTTGGGGCTTTTTTGAAATCTGAATATCCAGCAAAACAGTTTGGTTGGGTTGTTTGGGTTTTTTTGGGTTTGAGTGATGGTGTAGTTCTCCCTTCCACACGCAAAAAAGCTGGCAGCATTTGGAGACATCGAATGAGCTGCTATACAATAAAAATTGAGGAGAGAGACTCAGCTGGTGTGAAATGACCTGGCTGAAGGGAAGTCAATAAAGCTGTAACTTGCCTGGGTTGAACAACATGCTGGTGTCTTCACTGCATGTCCCTTGGCAGGAGATTCAACTTTCAAGACAAGAATGCTGCAACATGATGAAAAAATCTATTCTTTTAAGGTGCACACCTGAAATTACAGTACAATCATCCTGAATGCAGCTTCGTTTTCAATGACCACTTGTTATTGAACTGGAAAAGTGTTTTGAATTCATGCAGATGAATTTGTTCCCTGTGGATGGGATCATGACGAGTCAGGTCATAGGAGCCTGAAGAAACTGAACTGTTATCACATCTCCTAACATGGAGACAGGAAGCAGATGCTGACTGAACATTGACCTAGCCTGAGGAGTAGGGGTCAAATAATTCTTCCTTTAAGAAGCCGATTCTCATCAAGAATCAGCTTTAACACTATGATCTGCCTTGTGCAGAGGCTGGCAAGCAGAGACTACCCTTTAAAAACATGGGTGAAGTTTGCTCTCATTTGTGCTTGCACAACCCCAGTGACTATATATAACAGAGAATTTCTCAGCAAATTGGATTTTTGGTGTTGGGGGGGACTGCAGTTTAAACTTAGTTGCAGAAATTAAACCAAGGAGAACTTCCCTTCTGAAATCATTTCAGCTCTGCAACCACTTGTTCATGCAGCTGGTAACAGTTACTGCAGATCCTGCTGGGGACTTCAAGACATAAAATAAGTGACAGACCCAAAGATGAGATAGCAGGAACAGTCTGTGAGGTGGCTGAATATCCCAGCAACCTTTGTCAGGCTGGCAAACTGCATGCACTCTGCTTAGCTGAGTACAGCTGGTATTAACCCCAGACAGACAGGCACTCATCACCCGCTAACGGCAAAAAAGAAAACCCTAACAAAACCAGGTTTTTGTTTTCCATTTATTTTGCAAATCTAACAATTCATTTTATGAAAGTATGAAATCCTGTGTGGTTACACTAAACAGTTACATTACAATCCAGGTAATACAAATAAAGGCTACAAATTCAGTTTTAGGTATTCTTGGATAATGAGAAGGTTTAACATTATTTAACAGAAAAAATAGTTTAAAAAAAAAGAAAAATAGCCATGTGATTGTCAAAGAATTTTGTTTAAAGCAAGGAAACCACTGCAGACTCTCCTTGCCCTGCAAAAACTGAGAGAGAAACACTGATGTTTGCATCACCGTTCAATGTTAATTTCAATTAGATGCATCAAATTTAAGTGCACACATCTACTCATGATAACAAGAATAGTTCACAACTTGTTTGGAAACCAGTGTCAGGTTTCATTCTCTGGAAATTACATTTACAGTATAACATCACCATCCTTGCTTTCAGATGCATAAAAATCCTTTAATATCATTTGTAGAATACACTAGAGCTTCAAATCTTCTTTAATTGAATTCAGTGGGAGTAGGATCAGTTCTATATTTAATAAGTAGTCCTGATTTACTGAAATACTTACAAAACAGACTCTTTC